GTAAGGATCTAATAGTTTGTTTGCAATGATTAATTCGAATCACATTGGAGATTTTCTGCAAACATTCTCTCGAAATTCTTCAACGACTGAAATCTTTTCGTTTTGACAACAATTTTTTAATTAAAATTTTAACAAATTATCTTTCTATTCTCTTTGCCACATAAATCAAATTTATTTTTTAGTGCAAAATTGTGTACTGGAAACTTTTTATAACGAAGAGAATTCGGTGTTTTAGTTAATTATTTCTATTTGAAATTTGTGAGATCTGAAAATAAAAATAAAATTTGAATTATTAGAATCGCATAGTCGACTAGGATAAATACCTATATTGGTAAATACTTAAAAGTATAGGATAATAAATTGGAGTTTCATTTTTCATTATATGGAAAATATGTGGAAAAATATGACAAAAATCTTATAAATAACGAATAACGGGTAACATATAAGGGTACATATATGGGGGCTATATCCATATCGAACTACAAATACTAATTTTTAGACAAATTGGAGAAAAAATGTGGTTTAAACCATCGAAATATGAAATATCGGGAGCTACCATTATGTGGGGCTATCCCAAAACGTGGACCGATATATCTTATTTTCAATACCAACCATACTAGACACAATAAACACAAGCTCTTCGTTAAATAATATAAGTATTATCGTAATTTCAACAGACAGACGGACATGGACACTTAGAATTTTATGCTGATCATGAATATATATACATAATGGGGTCTATGGCAAATATGTAGAGGTATTACAAATATACAGCCTGTTTTTTTTTTTAATTTGGCTTCAACAGTCGACAAACTATTGTCGTTCAGTTTACACACTTGGAAATAGCTAGCCGACGACACGACAAAAATGCATTAGAAACATTACAGAAATATGATATTTCAAAACCCGCGGAGAAAGGTATCAGAATTGATATATAAGGACTCAGTAATCCAGAATCCAGAGGATTTCCCAGTACACTGAATCGATATGTGAATCCCCTATTAAAAAACCTCAGATCTGTTGGATTACAACATAATGCTGTTATGTAATATTAACATAACATATTTAGATACTACCGAATCAAAGCAACAATGTGTCCATATAGTTACTTCACATTTCAAACTCTGATGGGGAAAGTATGAAGGTAAATAAACAATTGGTGTTGTTGTCCATGCTACAACTAGCACACGGTTGGAATATTTGCTATTAAATATTCTTGCCATCAACAAAAAGTCATAGTTAGGGAATTACAACAAATAATACTAATTCCGGCATTTATTAACAGAATTGAAATATGTAACAATTTTAAAAGCGAACATGCAAAAAAGCATTAAGTCCGACCGGCCCAAACTTTTAATACCATCCACCTTGAGGTAAAGTAAACCTTAAAAATAAATGCATTGAGATTTAATATTGGTGCAAGTTCCATTTTTGCAGGGAGATTGCAGTAGAAGTTTTCAAAATACTATATATATTGTGAGTTTCATTACTTTCAAATTAGTCTCTAAAAGCCGGGATCTAAACAATTACGCGAAAATGTGGCTGAAATAATTAGAATATCGAAAGGTACCATTATAAGGAATATATAAGAAAACGTGAATCTATATAGACAAAGTATAGAATTCCTTATAGATTTTGCCATTTCCGTCTGTCTGAAGAAATGACCATAGATTCCGAAAGAAATTTAGTTTACTATTCGGCAAAGTTTTCGAAAATTAAAATAAATCGGTACATTCGAAGATTCCCATAGTCAGAAGAGAAAAGCATATTCCACCAACGTTCTTCATTTTTATGCCCTCCACCATACTATGGTGGTATATTAACTTTGTCATTTCGTATGTAATTCCTCGAAATGATCATTATAGAGCCAGAAATACACACAAATTTTCGATCTGCGTAAAATTCTATGTCGATTTATCCATGTCTCTCCGTCTCTCTATCAAATCACGCTATCTTTCTAACGAATTGAGATAGAACGCTAACATTTTGCACATAAATGTATTTTTATCAATAGGCCATGTCGGCCCACGTTTTCATGTAGCCCCCATATAATGAAAAATGTCTTCTTCCTGAAAAAATTCGTTAATTTTTTTTAAATTGTTCACTACGCCAATAAAACTTCTGATAAATCAATCAACTGTTAAAATGTTTTCCCCAATTTAAGACTTTTTTAAAGTAGCCGGATTTCGGTGTGGTCTTGAAATTTTCCCAATTTGATACTCATTTTAAGGTGCCGGCCGAACCGTCCGTTAGGAAAAAATGCTTAGTAAATTAAGGTGATATTCCATTTAATAGCAAATTCACAAATTTGGCATTTAGAAGAAAAGTAACAACAAAATTTAACCTGTTACGACAAGTAGACAGTTGCTTTGTATTTCTAATCCAAAAAAAAACTCTGCCGTATGATATTTGTTTTTCTTTGGTTCTTAATGATAATTTAAATGTAATGCACCAAAAGTCCATAAAACTTGTCAAGAATTTGCAAATCCGACAAGATACGACATAAAAACAGGATTGCGAAATATTATTACCGGCCTACAACGATCGGACACTGTTCTATTTCTTTTTTTTAATAATTAATTAATAATTGGTACTTACGTTATTTCCTTCAACATTCCATAACGTAAATGTGTATTTTCGCGTTGAATTCCCATTTAAAACACAAAACACCTTCACTTATTGAGCAAATGAGTACATATTCGGTTCATCGCTATTCAGTAATTGGCATGCCTGCACCAATTGTTTGCAACACCACAAACACACACTCACACAATAATATTTTACCGTTAATTTTTATAATGCAACAATTTACCAAAAAGAAACGCCACAACACTACACTGGAATTTCGCATTATATTAATTTTATTAACTATTTCACTGTTTATTACTTTTAAATAATTACCAATCTATAAAAATTATTATAATTGCATAGAAATTTAAGAGCACGACTTATGTGGCGTTTCCACTGCACTTGATTCGCTCTCTATTCGTTGTTTGACCCTTAACTATGAAAAAACTACCTAATTCTTCACACAAAATTTCCTGAGCGAACACTCATATTTGTACGTTGTTCAATTCAAATCACTCTCAGAATAACGAAAAAATATGTCCCATCCCTAACAAATGAGAGCATTTATCGAAAAAATAAATTATGACATTTAAAAATTAAAAACAGAAAAATTTAATGAAATTTTAAAAATTTTTGGGAAGACTGAAAATTATGAATGAAAACTACAATGTTGAATGGCGTATGTACATTCAAACGAAAGTAAATTTTGTTTTCTCTCTCATTCGAAGTACGCATTTGGTCCACGAGATGAAATTTCCACAGAAAACTGCAAACAAAAGAGGCAATATTTTCAAAATGTTTCTATTGGCAGAAAAAATATTTGACAAGTGTCTCTCCAGTAGAATTTAAAAATGGAAAAACACAAAAATATGTTCAAAATGTCAAGATTTACACAAAAAGTTGAAAACGTGAATGAAAATTATAAAATTATTGATATAATACATATTTGGGAGAAAAACAATCATTTCTTTTATTCATATTAGTGAGAATTTAATGTATTTTAGTATAAATTCCCATTAAAATCAAGAAACAAAATTTTTGAAAAAAGGAATTATTTTACTATGAATTACGAATCGTGCCGTATGAACGGGTTAATTCGTGTACCTAATTCTGAGAGCGAACAACGTTGTTCGGTTTCCAATGGAAACATGCTATTAACAGCAACGACGCGAACATTTTTCTTACAAGACTGATACAAGCGGCGCAATTCTACAGCGTTGCATTTTTCAACTAGAGCTGTTACTTGATCGAATTATCGTTATTCGATAACAAGGACTGTGTTTAGTAGCTGTTATTATTTATTTGTTTTTGAAGATTAAAAAATTAAAAAAATGCAAAAAAAATTTTTAGAATCTTCAGAAAGCCTCAATATACATATAGATACAATTTAAATAGAACATTCTATAAAGAAAATATTTTAAGTTCATAATTTCATACCACAAGCATCGAGCCCTTGTAAATGATTTATAATAGACGACAATCTAATAGGAAAATCTCCTTTTTATGGCAAGGGTCTTTCAATACCCTTGTAATTATACAGCATGTTGTTTTTATGGCATGTTTTTATATAGAGTACCATAATTTACAAGATAGGTCAGAGAAACAATCTGAATAATATAAACTAAATTAGGAGAATAGCAACTTATGTTTTTAATTAAAAAACATGAAGTGGTTCGTCTGTAGGTCATGCTTTAATGAATGGAGAAACTTTAAACAAAAATCATACAGAAAAATACACAAATTTGAGTGAAAATTTAATATTTTACGGTCAGCTTTTTAATTTTTCTATCGACAACTTAAAAATCGATAATCCGTGTATGCCGGATTACCAAATATTCATAACAATTTATCGAGTACATGATATTCGGGTAATCGGAATTCAACAACTTTGGCACAATTGAGAATTTTTCTTGACAGACTGCACGAGCTGCTGAAATTTTGCAAAGTTTTATTCTGTGAAAACTAAATTAAAATAAAAATTAAGCAAAATGACTAACGCCTGGAGAGCTGCTGGGCTTACGTAAGTAAACCAAGAAATTTAACAACAGTGCATAGCTTGCCAAATGCTTTGAGGGAAAACAAACAGAAATTACGTAATTTATGTCAAAGTACTTGGTAGAAACGCTATGCGGCAAGTTAATAAACTATAGCCTAAATTATTGGAAACTCGGCATTTACTCTGCACATTCTTACTTAACCTTTCAGCTACATCCAATACTCCAACATCTGCGCCCGTGTAGTGCGTCAAGCCTTGAAGGGTGATTTGCGTGCTGAGGCTGCCAAACGTAACGAAAGCCATGTCAAATTCACACCATGGACTGATGGCAAACCAGCCCGTAAGTATCATCTAAACGTAGATGGAGCATAAATTGATTATCTTATTGCTATATAAATATTAACCTTATAAATTTCTTAAAAAATAAACATTACAGATGAAAAGTGAGATCTTTAAAAGTCACCATTAAGTGTCTTTGATAAGAACTTTTCTTTAGACATATATTGTAAGTTGTAGACGTAGGTTGCGTGTGTATGTTCCTCCCAAAAAGTGTTAAACAGAAACTAACCATATGTCTCAGTCCGTAAAGATTAAATATGTTGTCCAAAATTCTTCCTGATCTTAAATTTTCCTTGCTGAAGCCCCGTTCCCAACTTAACGTTTCATGTTTTCGAAGAGTAAATTATGTGAAATGTTATGACATTGCGTTCTCAGGCCATACGCGCCATAATATAGAGTACAGTTTTGGAATTCAATGCTGCTCACCTTAATTTACATGCTTACACAAAAAAAATCAAACATTGGAAAAACTTATTTGAAATTGGGTTTAACTTTCGCATCTAAATTCAGAAATATACGTTAATTTCATTTTGAAAATTATAGAAATAAAACTCAAATATTTGCCTAAATGTGTATTACATATTCATTGTGTTGCAAATTCCAGCAAACATAAACATAACAATATCTTGATTACCTAAGGCTTTCTTAAAAATGAAATTATTCGTCAAAACATACTAAACCATCAAAATTTAAACTTCCCGAAGCAACCCTCAAAAAAATTTCCTGTTTGGATTATGTCGCAACTAATATCCTAGAAATCTATTTTATTATTTTATTAATTCTATTTTCTTTTGTTTATTTTTCAGCTCGTGCCCAAGCCAGCGAATAAATTTAATCATTTGTGTATTGGTTAAATATAAATTCCATCAATTCTTAATTCATCGTTAGCAGCAGTTTCCAACAAATAAATTTATTATAATTTTCGAAATGTTAATGCTAAAAGCAACAACAGAAATAAAACACAACAATTATTAAAAAAACCAACAATCTTATATTTTTCTTTTTCTCTTTTAACTTAAAACAAAAATAAGGCACTATATTTTTAAAACATCAGGCAAACATTATCGGCAAATACAAATGCGGTCATATAGTTCATATATTTTTAAATATATCCATTACAAAAAATAAAATATTTCTCAAGCTTTGATGTCAATTTTTAATTGACTTTAAAACTCGGAAAATATGTTTTTATTAAAACCCATAAGAAAAGATCGAAAAAATGCAACATTAGATAAATACATATCCATTAATTTAATTATTCTTAAATTACTTTCAAAAAAAAACTGTCATTTTAAATTCGTTGTGTCCTCTGTGGTACTTTGATTTCGTTTAAGGGTCTGAGAAAAATTCTCATCAATTTCACCTGAGGGGGGTTCGTAAAAATGATCCCAAGTCTTTAGTTCCTCGTACAACTTGCCACCAGGGCTAGCGGTGCTCATAAATTGTCTATGTGCCATGAGTTTGAAATTTGGCGTTAAATGACCTTCATCGACACCTCTGTAAATGTAAAAAAAAAAACAAATTGTATTTTAAATTTAGCACGTTATAATAAATAATTGTATTGGGATTCAAAAGGAACTATGGGCCTATCTCGCTTCCTTCTCCATGTTACAAACAAATGCACAAAGACATAATACCCTTCGCACTATGTGGTGTAGGTTATAAAAAGTATTCGTATAACCATTATCTGAGTGAAGGTTACGGTGGCATACCAAAGCTTATGAAGAAGCTATAGATTGAAACAATGTTCTTAAAATGCAAACAACGTTTCAACGTTATTTTGGAGGGATACCATTTCGAAGCCTACATATATTACAGTTTTTCACCTACTCCAGGGGCGAAAAACTTAAGCGTTTGAACGAAGACGATCACTTAGAAAGATAGATTTTTCATAAGCTTTCATGTGAATCCATTACATAAACCGCTATCATCATGCAAATATGTTAGCTACACTACGATGTTCCATATCATTGTTACACTTCATTTGTTAGGTAACATACAAACCTATCGAATGAAGTGTAACAAAGATGAGATAATTCTATTATTTCATTTAATTACACCCAAAAAACAAATGTATTGTTAAGGCATGGAAGGAGCCCTTACAATACTCAAGTAAGGTTTTTTTCCAAAACGTAATTCTATTTATGTCATTTTTTTGTTGAATCATACTCTTAGTTACCTTTTAAGTAAGTTCTTGCACGCAGTCAATGCTCGTGGTGGTGGAAGCTTATACATAAAAGTTCCAACGAAGGATATTCCAATTGAATATCTATTATAGCTAAAAGTATGCGCTCCCTCCACACCCCATCCCCGTCCCTCATACACGTTACCATCACAGCCAATTAAAAAGTTATAACCAATATCGTCCCATCCTCGGGTTTCAATGTGAAAAGTCTGAAAAGAGTAATATAATTAAATTTATTTTAGGTATTATATAGCAAAATATGTATACAATAAGATTGGATGCTTATATCATTTTAGATATTTAATCACGATTGGAAGTTTAGAACGTGATAAATTTCGAATTGTGAAACATAATATAAAACGTTCACGTTCTCGTTTAAGACATCAAAACAATTTAGGTTTTATCACATACAATGCACTCGTGCTAAAATGACATTAATTGGGTTACAAAACATATACCTACCTGTATATCACGAATTATACCAATATTTTTTGCTTGTTCTGTAGAGTCACTGGTGGCAGTGTGGGCTAAAAATGACATATGGACATGTTAATTGATTTTATGATTTAGCTTTGTGTTACAGCACTTAATATACTTACAAATAATTACTAAATCTGTTGGTACATCTATAGGACTGTACTCATTAATAGGATCCATTGCAAGCCACCGTGCTCTTGGAATTATTTGACAAGCAGGTCTATAGACTAAAGTATTGTGAAACATATGAATATAAAAATAGACATAATTAAAACTTCACTACTAACCTGGTGGTTTCTTTGGTGTTGCGTGCTTTCTTTCTTGTTTTATATCTGACTTATCCTCATCCAGATTTTCAGATGTGTCATGTGTACACTCACTTTCATTACCATCTTTATTAATTATAATATTGCCATTGATTTTGATAACATGTCCCATTATAACATTACTCGAATTTGAAATACTGAAATTGCCAAAATTTTGTTGTGGCATATTGCTTACAATTTCACTTAATTGCCTTAGATCTGGACATGTTGTGCTTAGCTGGGTTATATCTCTATATTCTCTATCATCGGATTCTAGAAAATAAATAAAATGTGTGTTACATATCTGAGTATACAGTTGTGGAATTAGAACAGTTTACTTATTTGGAAAATAATCTAAGTGTGTTTATTGTGTGAAAATAGACCTGTCAATTTTAGATGTTTTTGAAATGACCCTATGTTCTTGATAACTATACAGGGTGAGATGAAAAACTGCAACAAACGTCAGACTGCCGTCATTTCTAAGCCACTGTTAAAATTATTCCAGTGACAGCCCATTATATTGTTTACAAGCGTACAAAAGCATTTTGGTGAGAATTTTCCACAAAAAAAGTTATTCGTGATGGAATTCAAGCGTGATAGTGTTATTTACTTATATTTGGCTGGAAAACCACAAGTGGCTGTCGTTAGAGTACTCCAGCATTTAAATGTGAATTAATCTTTTTCGTCTCGTACCATCGCTCGTTATCGTGATACTGGTAGCGTAGCCCGACGTCAAGGAAGTGGACGGAAGAAAACAGCCACGTCAGCAGAAATGGTTCGAAAAGTAAAGAAGTGACTTGATCGAAACCCGCGTCGCAGTGGCCTTAAAATGGCTCATGAGGTGAACTTATCGTTATATTACATTCGGGAAATATTGAAAAATGAGCTCGGAGTAAAACCATAGAAATTCCAAAAAGTGTAAGAACTTGCACCGCAACAGAAAGAAAATAGACTCGAAAGAGCTAAAGAGTTGCTTCGCTTGGCCGAAAGTGGTGAACTGACGAATTTGGGTTTCTCCGATCAGAAAACATTCGTTGCCCAGCAGTTTGTAAACAAACAAAATGATCGTGTTTACTTGCAAACAAGGTCAGCTGAAAATGTGCACCTTCGATTGGCCACCAGAACTCAAACGCCGGCCATTGTGATGGTGTGGGCCGCCATAACAGCCGATGGTCGCTCTCTGCTCGTATTAATCGACTGTGGCATCAGAATAAATGCCGAAAATTATCGCGAAAATATTCTTGGGCACGCAAACATTTTGGCCGCAGACTTTGGACATTCCAACAGGACTCAGCACCATCCCAAACAGAACGCGCCACCCAAGTATGGTTACAAAATGAGGTTCCTGGCTTCATTTCCAGCGCACAATGGCCACCAAAATCTCCGGATACCAATCCGTTGAACTATTTTGTCTGGAGTATTTTGGAAAGCAAGGTTGGCAATAAAAACTACCAAAGTATCGATCACCTCAAGCAAGCGATTCACCGGGAATGGGCCAAAATACCGCAGAGCAACATTCGGGCAACGTGTGACGGTTTCATTGGCCGTTTGAAAGCCATAAAAGGTGACCAATTCGAACAAATCTAAACTTATTCTAAAAGTTGATGCTATTTCCGACAACTTTTGCTTTCATTCAATAAAATTTAAAAAAAAAATAAAGTAAAAATTATGGCGTTTGACTTTGTTGTAGTTTTTTATCTCACCCTGTATATGTTGAATTAAACCAAAAAATTGAAAACTTATATAAAAATAAATAATCTGACTTAAGAAATAAATAATTTGATTAAACACAAAAACTAGCTGATATTACAACATGAAACCATATTTTGCCAGACTACTATATTTTTAGTTTGATGCTAACTGGGATTTGGAACAACATTGGCAAATGTATTCGACCTCAAATGTTTAGTTATATCCGACTATTTACCAAATAATTCAATATATGACAAATGATCGGTGTACTAAATGCTTGTGGACCGAGGCCAATTTTTCGAGGTGATACAAAGTCTGAAACAGACCCCTTTACATAGTGGCCTAGGGTATGCAACTTAAATTTGATAAATTTTTATATCTTTTTTTTAATATTTTTTGTCGAAAAATCACATTTTTTGTCTTTTGAGCCCTTAAAAATGGTTTCGAAGAGCATTTTTGGCTACGTCTCATATAATGTCTTTAATATGTTCAAAATTGTGTTCATCAATTGCTCTAGAAGCAGACATAACAGCATTACATCAGAGTCGGGCTTGGCAAAGCAAAATATATAATTACCAACTACCTCGATATCTTCCAATGTTGATTATGCAAGAAGGAATGGATATGATATAGAATTTCCATACATTTTTGAAGATAGTATTCTTGGAAACAAGACTGTCATATATGAGGATATGGGCTAACATATCCATATCCATTTATTACCGATTTTATTATGATTGAGATCTTATATTTGAATGTGAATCGTCGTATATTTGTATGTCTAATCATACAATAATACAATATCTAGTGATTAGCGCATCGCATAACATCGAAGAGCTGTCAGTTAATGGGGCCATTAAACAATGCTTCAACACGAAAATAATTAAAATAATTGTTAAATTCTCGATTTACGTGATGAAAAGAAAAGACTCAATTAGCTTGTACTGTCTATTTATACATTTACCTATTATTTGGCCTGGGATCCGTGTGCCGAGGGCATGCTCTTCGCCTGATTCTGAATCCGAGTCGCTGGAATCAATAACACTAGATTCAACGGTCGAATCATCAACTGAGTCTAAATCTTCCAGGTTTAGAGAATTCAGCCAATTCCTGGTTTTCTCCTCATTAATTCGCAGACGATCATTGGCATTCATGGTTACAGTATTGTGCGATTTTCTTATGAATAGTGAAATTTCTTCCACACTTTGTTTTTCTTCTTATTTTATCTTATCATAACTCTTATTGCGATCTCAAGTCAAGTGTGGCGGACAAAGATGTTCTCAGCTAAGAAAAACTTGCGGATTTTGAGTTATGATTTTGATTTGCATTGATTGTGCAGTATAGAGAGCTTATGTTGCGTTTAAAATCTACATTAATGGTGAGGTTTTGTATATTATATCGGAGATTTTTAGGTAACTCGCAATTAAAAATCTCTTGTTTATAAAACTAATTATTTTTCACAGGGTGGCACGGAATAACAAATTTTATTGTAATTCTTGCCATTTATCGATTTCGATGATAATAATAGGTGTGTCTGGTTACTTTTCCTGCAGGAATTGTCCAGCAAAATCTTTCTGAGAGAGTAAGGTAGTTTTATTCTCTTTTGCAAGGAAAATTCGAAAAGTAAACAGACGGTATTCCTGCAAAAGCTTGCAACTAATCAGCTGATTTGTAAAAACAAACCAATATGTCCCCTATTATAAAAATAAAATGAAAGGAAGGACCACAAATTTTACAAGTTTTTTAAATAAAAAGGAAATTAGCAATTAAACAAAAATATCAGCAATAAAAGAAAGACAGATTTTATGTGTTCCCCGGAGTCCTTTCAATTTGTTGCTAATGGCGTTTGTCTAAAAACCTTGGAAATAGCCTTTTATTTTCTTATTACATATTAATATTTACGTTTTTCACATTTTGTAAAGTTTATCTCAAAAAAAAAACAATTAGTCTTGCCCATTCCAAAAAAATATTTTCAAATTGAAAGCACAAAAAGAAATAAACAAACAATAGAAAACATCTAATTGAATGTCGATGAATGTGAAGAAGAAGAAGAGTTGCAAGTGATTGCAAGAAGAAATTTTTCCAGCAAGAATTTGCAAACTCTCACTGAAAGAACTGTCAAAATTTCTCTTTCCGACCGCTCTCTTTTGCAGAACTTTTGGGTTAACAGACGACTTCCAGTAACAATTTGTAACAATTGTTACCAATTTTAGGGTAACCAGACACACCTAATAATGCCAAGTATATTGCGGCCCATGGATTGTCGTCCGATCATAGTAGCAGCACCACAATACATTTTCTTCTTGTGTTTTCCATACAAAAGGTTTATAGTTGTGTTCCAGAACCTGCAATATAGTACAATATTGAACAAAATGTTTAACCGGGTAAAATTAGAGGGAAATCCTTAAAAATCAGGTCCATGTCTTAAACATACCAAAAGTGAATGTTGTAAAATTTGACTATTATCAAAATTTACCCGATTTTTATAATTTTCTATTGAAACTTTTGTTTTATTCGCCTCTCATTTTAACAAAAGAAAAAGAAATTGTTCAATTGTCAAGGTTTGAAACTGCTAAACTTCGAAGTTTCATATGAATGTGTCTTACTTGTGTGGTGAAAAACGTCGACCGAGTACGTTGAATGTTAGATAACGCTATTAGTCAATCAGCATATGCCAATCATAGTATGGTTTCAGAACCTGCAAAATAGTACAATATTTAGCAAGTTTTACATTTTTATTCCCACCACAATTCTATGGAAGGTATATTAGATTTGTCATTCCTTATGTAATGCCATGTTTACGTTAGAACTTTTTGTATGGTTAACCTACTTTGAGAGGATTTATTTGAAGTAAAAGTAATGGATATGACAATTTAAATCTAAATCCAGTGGGTTAACCCTCATATATATAAAAGTACTTTAACTCCTCGAAATATTCATAATAGACCCTCAAAGTATATACATTCTGATCAGCGTAAAATTCTAAGACGATCTAGCGATGTCCGTCTGTCCGTCTGATGTAATCACGCTATCTTTCGAACGAATTGAGATAGAAGGCTAAAATTTGCTTACATGCATAAGTTACCAGTAGCCAGGTTAATGCCATGTTTACGTTAGAACTTTTTGTAGGATTAACCTACTTTGAGAGGATTTATTTGAAGTAAAAGTAATGGATATGACAATTTAAATCCAAATCCAGTGGGTTAACCCTCATATATATAAACGTACTATAAGTTCATAAATGGGCCATGTCGGTCCACGTTTTCGTATATTTCATGGTCTTATCGAGATTATTTACCGGAACTATTTCATATTTAAAGTTCGTAATGGGTACTACAGTCTATGACAAAAAAATTTCGTATGCAGGTCCACGTCTTCGTATAGCCCCCATATAACGTTATCGGTATTTTCATGATATTAGCGACATTATTTACCGGAATTATTTCAAATTTTATATTTGAAGATCGTAATGAGTACTACAGCATATGATAAAAAAAGTTCATATAGTCCCCATATAACGGGTTTCATTTAAGTTGTAGTTTTCGGATTTTTTTGAAATTTTTAAAGTTCCTTCCAAATTTTGGAGGGTATTAAAAGTTCGGCACGGCTTAATAATTTTAAATCAGGAAAAGTATGAAGTAAATGAAAACAACTTGTTGCATTTAATTTCAAAGCAATTTTGGAATTGAAATGAAAAATTATTCAAATGAAAAATATATCAAAAATGCATATCATTACAAACTTTGAGGTGTTACCAACAGAATGATAAAATGAATGACATTCCCCATACAGAACTGTATAGCCTATACAAAACCAATTATTTTATAAACATGGACTGTCATTTCGTATCAATTAAAAAAAAAAAACAGTCATACTAGAAATCGCTTCTCAAATCAGCTTTGTTTATTTTCATCATAAAAATGTTCCCAGTTTTTTATCTCCGCAAATAATTGCCTTCCAGGGCTTTCCGAACAGATGCATTGTTTGTGACCCATTAATTTGAAGTCCTTCGACAAATGTCCCTCGTCAACGCCTCTAAACATGAAAAAGTACAAAAAAACTTAATCATACAAGAATTACTTCATCTTGTCAATAAATCACTTACATTTCTAATAATTTCTTGCATGCCTGCAAAGCCTTTTCGCTGGGCAATTTAAGCATAAAATTCCCAATGAATGCTATGCCAATCGATTTTCTGTTATATCCATATGTATGTGCACCGACGACACCCCAACCCCGTCCTTCATAGATATTTCCATCGCATCCAATTAGAAAATTATATCCTATATCGCCAAAATCTTGGCTCCCAATATGATAAGCCTGAAATTGTTATTTTTTTAGTACATTACACATAAACAATTTACATTTTAAACTAACCTGTATGCCTTGAATGATATTAATATTTGTTAACTTATCATTAGAACTATTTGAAGCAGTGTGAGCTAAAAAAGACAAGAAATCTTTTAAATTAACAATGTTATGAAATAAATATACGTATACATACAAATTATTACAAATTCGGTTGGTTCTTCTAAGCTTAGGTATTCTTCTAAGGGCTCAATAGCTGACCAGCGGTCTCGGGATGTTATTAGTTGTGGCGTTTCAGGGTCTTCAGATAAATATAAATAATTAAGTATATGAAAAAATAAGGAAAATGAAAAATATTCTCACTTTTCGGAGTTTTTAGAATAATATTCTTATCCTTCGTTTCCCCTATTTTATTTGCTATTTCCTTGGATTTAGATTCTCCACATATTTCATTTTTGTTGTGAACTTTTAATATGAGATCACCTTTAATCTTAACTATATTACCAACAACCACATTGGAAGAATTATTTATGCTAATATCACCAAAAACTGGAGACGGCAATTGACTTAAGAGGTTATTCAGACTTGTTATATTATCACTTTCAAGTAATTCTGAAATATTGTTGTAATTTTCATCCTCATCTACGGTGGCTAAAAATATAATGCATTAACTTTATATTTATATTAGATTTTGGCAGCTCTTACTTGTTGATTCGCAAACGCTGGTCTCTTCTATAGAATCTACAAACGACTCTGTATCAATATCGCTTTGTACATGACTATTTTCAAGCCATTTTCTTGTATTTTCTAAACTTATGGGTAATGTCTCTTGGGAACTGTAAGACTGCATTTTAAATAAACTTGGCGATTTTAATTCAGAAACAAATTCAGCTCTAATCCGTATTTTCTTCTATGATAAACTGATTTCCTTTGTTGGCTGAATCATATTAAACGTGTATGATTATACATATATATATGTGTGTGTCGAAGTGAATGTTCTTCCCCTGAGAAACAAAATGCAACATATAGCCCAAGTTACCATGTGTCATTGGTGTTTAAATGTGGGACACTTTAAAATTTTTAGGTCTTTTTAATGATGAGGAAAAATATATTTGAGACACACAAGGAGAAAAGATATTTTGTTCATGAAATGAATAAAGATATAACAGCATTTATTTTGATTTTGAATTAAAAATTGGTTTGAGAAAATTAATTTTTTAAATTAGTGTATTTGGATGATACTTATGAATCTAAACAACTAAAAATATATTAAGGTTACCTCTTCATTTTCGGTATTTTTAAGATTTTAAGCCACAATATCCAACGAAACTAGTTGTAATTTCAACATTTTGACTCCAAGCACGTCGTGGTTTTTCGATTTTTATTGTTTTTCTCTATTTTTAATAACTTTATTTTCGCTTGAGGTCAATTGTAAAATCAATGTTTTATTTTTATTTTCCAAAGTCGTCTTCATGGAACAACAATAAACAATAACAACAAAAATTTACTTTTTTTTAAAAAGAACAAGTAAAAAAGCTGCATGTTCGGGCCGAACTTTGAATACCCTCCAACATTTGGAACGAATTTGGCAATTTTCAAAAAATAAAATCCGTTAAAAATTCTGTTAAAATCCCAAAAATATCAAATGTAGCCGTCATATTAGGGTCTAAACGACGACGTGGACCTGCATAGGCAATTTTTGTCATAATCCATTAAAATATTCAAATGAGAAACTTGAAAAAATCGGTAAATAATGTTGCTAAAATCATCAATATATGACGGTTCTTTTATTTGGATCTAAATGACGACGTGGATCTGCATAGGCAATTTTTGTCATATTCCATTAAAATATTCAAATGAGAAACTTGAAAAAATCGGTAAGTAATGTTGCTAAAATCATCAATATAGGGCGGTACTTTTATTTGGGGTCTATACCAAAATACCACAGGCAATTTTCCGCAATTCCGGTGAATAATTTCAAAATCATCAAAATACCGGATATCGGGAGTTACCGTTACAATTATATCTATACAATATACACAATTTTCTGTCTTAGGCTGTAGTAGCTGTAGCTTTAAATACCAAATTTGAAATAATTCCGGTAAATAATGTCGCTAAAACCAAAAAAAGATATGTATCAAATTTAACCAAAGTAACATATAAAAGGATAAGGAAAGCATCATCCGAATCAAATTAGCAAAATTATTATAAACTTCCAAAATATATCTTTTAATTCAATTTTAAAGTTCTATTTCAGAACCTGCAAGAATCTTCTCTTTTTGCATTTTTTTCGATATCATACAGGGGAAAATCGGTTATCATAGTAAAAACTTTTACATTCTTGCAGTTCTGGAACAGACTAATGCTAGAAACACAATTGGAGCGAACGACGAATTTTTTCGCGGCGTATGTTCGTCGTCAAAAATAAAAAACATATGTGTATATGGAAGTGCACACAATAACGGCGCCGGCGAAAATTTCGTCGGTCGCCGCGAACTCAATTAGCTTTATTTCTATTTCATACGCCGGCGAACGGCGACAAAACAATACAAGGTGGCCATACTTGTACGAATTTTATGTGTTTTAGTGCATAAATTTACTTTTTACTTTAAAATTTGTTATGGTCACTCTACAATGTTATTCGTATAAAAAAAAAAACATAAATAATTTGATTATTTATTTGTGCACTTGCGCCTGAGTGAAGATGGATATCAGTGAATTTATAATAGAGAAGATGGACATAACTGAAATTATAAAGAATTATGAGTTCTTGTATAATTTTCATTGTAGTCAACAAATGAGCAAAAAGTAAACAACTTCATCAGCTGTTTTATAATTTCGTCGGTATTGTGTTCCATACGACGAATTTTCGCGGCTCATTTTGTCGCCGCGTAGGGCGAAATTCGTCGTTCGCTCCAATTGTGTTCCTAGCATAAGGTAGATCTAACAGGTAACCGCATCGGCGAATTGCTACAACAAAGCAACTTTTGTGGTCCCCTCAAATGTCAAAATTGGCATCTAAGGCGAAAAACATAGATTCGCCATGACATTTAAAGGTTGCGGCAAATTCGTTTCAACCAATCAAAAACGAGGTGTTTGTTTACATTTTATTTTGTGTGCCTCTCGTCGTAAAGGACGTCGTTTTTATTGTTAAAGAAATAAGAGTAAAATAAGTATTAATTGTAGTATTGCGATATTTTTTAAACCAAGAAACTTATAATGACTATATTTTACTGGTTTAAACCGAAAGTTTTCCGGAACTGCAAATGACAAGTGTCGAATTCTTGCACTACTTCCCGTGATGTACTTTGGGAATCTTAGATGTTGAGGCTAACTTAATTCTTAAAGCTGCACTCCATTCTAACCTCCTTCCTTCATTTTCTTTTAATTTTTTTTACTGGTTTCATTCTTATGCTAGGAACACAATTGGAGCGAACGACGAATTTTTTCGCGGCGTATGTTCGTCGTCAAAAATAAAAACCATATGTGTATATGGAAGTGCACACAATCACGGCGCCGGCGAAAATTTCGTCGGTCGCCGCGAACTCAATTAGCTTTATTTCTATTTCATACGCCGGCGAACGGCGACAAAACAGTACAAGGTGGCCATACTTGTACGAATTTTATGTGTTTTAGTAAATAAAGTTACTTTTTACTTAAAAATTTGTTATGGTCACTCTACTATCTGTTATTCGTATAAAAAAAACATAAATAATTTGTTTATTTATTTGTGCACTTGCGCCTGAGTGAAGATGGATATCAGTGAATTTATAATAGAAAAGATGGACATAACTGAAATTATAAAGAATTATGAGTTCTTGTATAATTTTCATTGTAGTCAACAAATGAGCAAAAAGTAAACAACTTCATCAGCTGTTTTATAATTTCGTCGGTATTGTGTTCCATACGACGAATTTTCGCGGCTCATTTTGTCGCCGCGTAGGGCGAAATTCGTCGTTCGCTCCAATTGTGTTCCTAGCATTAACTTGCTCTTAAATTATTTGAAATATTATAAAAAGGTACTTTTAGGGAAGACAACATAAACAAATTTGTTGTTGCATTTATTTAGGGCGAATTCTTCATTACAACAATTTGTTTTGATATTTAATGGTGCCGTCAGCTGGGCTGATGCGATTACCTAGTACATCTACCTTGTTCTGATGTGTACTAAAGGCCGATTAATCGGAAGTCGACTTACCTATCCCTATTCTCACAGCGGCTTATTATTAATTTTTTTTTGTTTATGTAGGGGGTCAATTTATTTTATACTAAAGTTATAGATAAAAGACAATAGAATTAGTTTAATAGTCATTATGAGTGAGCCAGAATCTGCCCAAGACTTTCATGCTACACGTTTAGAAGACAGCAGCAGCGGCGAAGATGACACAGATATGCATGAATCTGTGAAACATCAAGAGCAGGATGAATGTCCTCCAAGCACAAATACAAATACTGGTGCCGCTACTTCTAATGAATACGATGAAGATGAGTGGAGAGAAAATGAATTCGAAAATCCACCCGTTGATGGAAACATGCGTGTCGTTGCATCTCACTACAACGAACTAAAGGAGTCTGGGAGAACAGAACGAGTGAAATCCCGCATTTTTCATATGCGTAATTTTAATAATTGGATCAAGTCCCAGTTAATCTCAGAATACATAAAACGAATTAAAACTAATCAACGTATGGGTGATCCAATGCGAGTATTGGACATGTGCTGCGGCAAAGGCGGGGATTTGCTCAAATGGGAAAAGGCCATGATAACACATTTGATATGCACCGATATTGCCGAGGTGTCCGTGGAACAGTGCAAAAGGCGATATGAAGACATCATTCGAAGAGCAGAACACTCGAAATTTGCCCACAAATTTACCGCAGAATTCTTTGCATGTGACTCTACACTCGTACGGTTGCGGGAGCGTTTCAAGGATCCATCGCTCAAACTGAATTTGGTTTCGTGTCAGTTTGCGTTTCACTACTCTTTTGAATCATTGACACAAGCTGATTGCATGGTTCGAAATGCCGCAGAATGTTTACAACCTGGAGGTTTCTTCATAGCAACAATACCGGATGCATTTGAAATAATGAAACGTTTACGAGCTTCTCCTAATGGTCGCAGTTTTGGAAATGAAGTTTACAACATAGAATTTTGTTCGGATACAAATCCACCTCCATTTTTTGGTGCAAAATATCAATTTCATTTGGAGGGTGTGGTGGATTGTCCAGAATTTTTGGTACACTTCCCAACGTTAGAAAAGTTGTGTCGCAAATATGGCTTGAAGTTGGAAAGAAAAACTACCTTTGCCGATTACTTTAAAGAAAACATGGATAATGGTATGATTCCAATTAATCACTGACCTAACTAATTAACTAATCTCACCTTGCTTGTAGGCCGTAATCTTTTGCAGCGTATGAGTGGTTTAGAAACTGTATATCCAAATCGTGTTGGAAATGATGAACAGTATGAACATATCAAACGTTATTGTAAAGGCAACACTGGAAGGCCATATGGTTCACTTTCGAAAAGTGAATGGGAGGCAGCTAGTAAGTAATAGAAACTACTTGAAATGTCTGTGTTATTTGTTGCATTAGCTAGTCCAATTTTGACAATGTTTTTGTTACAAAAGCCGATTTCGGAACTTACTAATGCTACGCTTGCACAAAATGAAAGGTCTTTCAATTACATATTAATATAATTATTTCTTACATCTATTTCAGCTCTTTATCTAGTATGCGCTTTTCGTAAGTGTAAAAATACTTGGGACTCCCAAGGAAAGCCGGTGTTCGAGTTTGATTGATCTGTCTGTGCTTAAATTAAATAACTATGCCTTACATCGAACACTAGAGCAACCAAAACATTTTTGTTACAAATAAAAAAAAACAAAGACAAAAATGTAAATGTATGTTTTTAATATTTTTTTATTAATGAATGCAAGTCAGATCTACC